GAAATAAATAAATAAATGAAGAAAGAAAGAAAGAAATTATTTCAAATAAATTAAAAAAAAAAAGAAAGTACTTGTTATTTGAGGATAACCAGACTTGGAAAAGTTCACCTAAAGTGAATCCACTTAAAATTAGGACAAATATTCACAGTAAATACTGAGTGAATTCCTGCTTTATGCAATGAGTTTTATTAAAGAGAAGATGTGTGATCCAGAATTCTAATATTTGCTGTGCTGTGTTGATTGTTGCTGGGCGGAAAGGTCACAACTATGGTTGTGACAATAGAAGTTAAAATAGTTACAATAGTGCTAGTCACAATAGTAGTTTGTTTAATCTCTGGCATGGCTCAAGGCACACAGCCTAATTCTGGTTTTGTTTTGTGCATCTGGGTGGTAAAATGTACATAATAAAAAATTCACCATTTTAACCATTTTCACGTGTGCAATTCAGCCGGCATTATCTACATTAACAATGTTGTTCATCCATCCCCACTGCTTAGTTTCAGAACTTTCCCATCACCACAAAAGGAAACCCAATTAGGAATCATACCATTCCCCTCTCCCGCCTAGCTCCACCTAGCTCCTGGGAACCAGGAATCTGCTTTCTATCTGTATCCTGTATAGATTTGTCGACTCTGGATATTTCATATAAGTGGAAACATACAAGATGTGACCTTTGTAATCTGGCTTCTTTCACTTAGCATAATGTTTTCAAGGTTCATCCAAGTTGTAGCATGTATCAGCATTCCTTTCCTTTTTTATAGATAACTAATATTTCATTGTATGTATATACTGTGTTTTTGTTTATCCATTCATCATCTGATGAACATTCGGATTGTTTCTAACTTTTGGCTATTGTGAATAATACTGCTGTGAATATTTGTATACAGGTTTTTCTTTGAACACCTGTTTTTAATTCTTTTGGGTATATACCTATGAATAGAATTGTTAGGTCATATGGTAATTCTGTGTTTAATTTTCTAAGGAACCACCTCATTCTTCGAACCTCCCTGATGCTGTTCCCTTTGCTCTGTACCATGATATGGACTTCTTGTAACATTAATCTTCCAAATCAGTGAAGATTAATTAAATAATATTTGGATTAATTAGTGTCTGGATATCTTGTTAATAGTCAAGTCTAACATTCTGTTAATCAGCACTAAATGGTAGGCCAGGTGTTACCTCATATTGTACTTTAAATATAGAAAATCATATAATATTGATTTAATACTTATCTCTCTACTTTTAATTAATTTAGTCAATGCACTGGGTTGTCAGAAGTAAAAAGGACCTGATGCTGGAAGAATGTGACCAAATTCCCACCAGCAAGATTGAAAATGAGGAATGGAATGAGCAAAGAGAAATAAAGAAAGAGGAACTGGCTTCAACCACAGAGGAAATGAAGCAAAAACAATCTGAGCCCCTGGAGAAGTCAGTCTCTCCACAAAATCCAGATTCTCCAGGTAAGTCATGTTATATATATATAGCTTTGCTGAATGGAGAAGTTCGAAAATTAAAGATCTTGGTTTATATTGAATTTATATTCAACCTTTNCTGGCTTCAACCACAGAGGAAATGAAGCAAAAACAATCTGAGCCCCTGGAGAAGTCAGTCTTTCCACAAAATCCAGATTCTCTAGGTAAGTCATGTTATATATATATATATATAGCTTTTCTGAATGGAGAAGTTCGAAAATTAAAGATCTTGGTTTATATTGAATTTATATTCAACCTTTTCCAATCTGCACAGTAGTGCCAAATTTAAGGATTGGTTTAGTATCTTAAAATATACTTAGCATTGACACAGCAACTAGAAGATACATACGTTGCTCACAAAGGAAACCTTGAGACATTTCTCAGAGTGTCTTCTGCTTTACTGAAATAACACTAACATTTATTGAATGTTTACTATGCACAAGAATACTCTTTACATATTATTTTACATCTATTATCTCATTTAATATTAATTTCACAAATGTTAACGTACTTTATTCACACTACAAGCTTGTGAGGTTGGTACCAATATTATTCTCATTTTACAGATG